AAGTCCCAGTCTCTTTAGCCTCTCTTCATATGGGACCTCTTCCAAACCTCTGATCATTGTAGTTGCCCTCCCCTCTCCCACCCTCTCTCTTCCCCTCTCCCACCTCTTTTTCCCAGTCTCCCCCAGTTTTGTTCAATAAAGACAGATTCTATTTTTGAACACACGTTTTCTTTATTTTGTACATGAGGAAGGGGGGCTAGGGAAAGGTAAGTGGAAGGAGGTGAGGGAGGAATGGGGTACGAGCCCCCGATGGGGAGGACGGGGCTGGCTCTGCAGGCTTCTGGGGGTGAAAGCTCTCCTGCAGCCCTCCAATTGCCCCCTCTCCCCAGATGGCAGCCTGCGGCAAGTGCAGCCAGTCTGATGGCCGAGTGGTGTGATGTGCCCAGTGTGGGTAGTCCGGGCACTCCAAGCCAGGACTGCTTTGCAAGCGGGGAACCCCTGAGAACTGTCTGTCCGGGGTGGGGGTCAGGTCCCTTTAAGCACAGCCCTCGGCTAGCCTGAGACAGCAGCTCCATGCTCTAAGTCCTCATCTGATGTCCTGCCGGCACTGCTTCCAGCCATCCTTAACCCCGGTTCAGGGTCCACTTAATGTGGACATGCTAGTTCGAATTAGCAAAACGCTAATTCGAACTAGTTTTTAGTTCTAGATGCATTAGTTCGAATTAGCTTAGTTCAAATTAACTAATTCGAACTAAATTAGTTCGAATTCGCGCTGTAGTGTAGACATACCCATGGATACCTTTCAAGCATTTAAATTCCTATTGCATTCTATTGCACTGTGTTTGTAGTGTGCAATTAATAACTTTTAACTATTCAGGATCTTTGTGTATCTTTTGTTTGCAAGGTTAAAACCCCCCATCTAGTATCAAATTTCAGGTCCATGGGGTGGGTCAGGTATGGTAGTCATATTAGAGTTTTGGAAATTTGTGTTTTGGATTTAAAAGTTTGATGAGTTTGACCAGCTAGGGATGGTTCTTAATCTATTGTCATTATAGTAGCTCACTAGATGTTGGCATTTGGAGGCTTTCTGCTGGAATGCAAAGCTTTCTCTGCAACTTGCTTTTCTTGTGAGATAACAGAGCTTCTGAGTTAGTTGCCTGTGAACAATCGGTTCCTGGTGAGCAAACGAGTTCTGTCTGATAGTTCCTCCACTTTTGACTGTCATTTATTCACACCGTTAAGCGTCTCATCTTCCAAAGTCTCTTTTGCAGTTTGGTACATTTTCTTAATATTTACTTGTCTGTGTATTTCTAACACTGTGGAATTTTATTACTTTGTTTCAGTAGGAAACTATGATTTGATGCCTCTCCTTGAAATTCATATTGCCTTTGTCTTCACTGCAAGAACTGTTATTTTTCCATCAAGATAACTACTTTGTAAAATATATCTATTAACAAAACCTGTTTTGTTTTGTATTTTGCTTTAAAGAAATAGCCATTGCCTCTTTAAAATAAAACCAAGTCAATTACCGAGTTCAAGGAAGAAAAGCCACAATTGTAGTCCTCCTTACATCTGCAGTATCATTTCAGCTGGACTGTCACGATATATTCCTATTATTCTGAGTCCTTTCCACATTTGACTATGGCTACGTCTATACTGCAGCCTTCTTCTGCAAAAGCTTATGTAAATGAAGCTCAGAGTAGAATATTGTTGTGATTAATTTGCATAATTAATTAACAGCCATTTTTGCACAAGAGGCTTTTGTGCAAAAAGGAGCTGTGTAGATGGCTCCTTTTTGCGCAAAAGCCTCTTGTGCAAAACTGGCTGCTAATTAATTATGCAAATGATGTGCAGGGATATTCTACTCCGCGCTTCATTTGCATAAGCTTTTGCAGAAGAAGGTTGAAGTATAGATATAGCTTAAGATTTGTTGTATTTATGAAAGATCAGCTTTTGTTCAGACACAGGTTTTTGGGCTTGATGTACAAATTATTTGTGAAATTTCTGGTCTGCATTATACAGAAGGTCAGACTAGCTGTTCCTAATGAGCCCTTTTAATCTTAAACATCTATGCATCTATTCTTCCATACTGCATCTCAAGCATGTATCAGCTTTGCATTGATTCTACTCAATTGCTCCCATCAAATAAATAAGGAAAAATAGTAATGGAGAATTTAATTTCTATGGCTATAATCTTGTTGACCACCAAACTATCAAGTATATTGGGATTCCTTTTGAGCCAGTTGGTTTATCCAGAATATCTTGTCGAGTTCTGGGAGAACATTTCATCCAGTTCTCTTGGGGTATGTCTACACTACCCCGCTAGTTCGAACACCAGATCGCTCTGCGCCGGCTCTTCCAGGTTTTAATCTATTCGCCACGGGTGAGTAGATTACATTATTTGTCGAGCCATGGCTATTAGCCAGGATGGGTAAGAATGGTTCCCTAGCCTCTCTTAGTTAGAAATTGGGTAACAGAGTGGGATCACTTGTTCTGTTCATTTTGTCTGGTGCACCTGGCACTATTAGAAGACTGGATATTGTGCTAGATGGGCCTTTGGTCTGACCTAGTAAGACCATTGTTATGTTCTTATATTCTTATTTTATATAACTGCTTCTTGTGAACATTAGCCATGCCTAGATGCAAAGGGTTTATGTACAGGGGGGATCCTACAATTCTAATCATGTCACACCACAGTTCATATACACCTATCATAGCTAACAGCATCTATGCTTGCATGTAAAGATCAACTGATTGCCAGATTGCATATGGCATGCTTATCAGTTCAGGACATTTCTGCTGACATTGTTTATAAGAAACATAACCATATTAATTAATTTCCATTACCCTCAATAATATATTCACAATAGTTAGTTGTTTAAGCCATTACAGTAACTACTATTCAATAATTACTTACTGTGGCATATCTTGTCTTAACTTGGAATTGTACCTGTCAGCTAAGTGCATAGTTTTGGCTCACAAATTACAGAGAAATACAAATTCTTCTAGTTACTCTTAGAATATTGAAAGGGTACATGGAAAAATACATTTTAAAGTAGCCAAAGCACAATGCCAACCATATATCCGCTGGGGCTGTGAAGTCCTATGCCTTCCCATCCCAAAGGCTATCTAGCTATCCTATAGGGCAAAAATTGAGCCTTCAGCAAGAAATTCTGGAGTTTTAAGAAATCATGGAGCCCTCTAGAGGCACAGTGTTGATAGACCTTTATTATTAAATCTCTCCTTCTAAGCCATTGTGCCTTTCAGATCTGTGAGTGAAAACGTCCCAGACTAGCCCTAATTATCAACACCAATGGCATGTTCATATTTGCTTTTTGTCAATGAGTTTGTGTCCCAGGATGCATCCACACATATCTGAAACCTCTGGAAAATGCACACATGGGCCTAATTTGTTTTATTTAGAGTTAAAGTTTGTTAGCATGAGAATTTGTTTTATCTTCACCTGTTGAGCACTTCAGACACAGTCAGATAAACTGACAAATGACTGGTTAACCAAATAGTAGGCAGTCATGTGAAATATGTCACACGTAAATGTAATGTGAACTTTACACTCTTGCAGGACTATAAAGAGCCAGTGAGAGCACTAAACCTCAGTCTCAGGCACCATGAAGACCTTTCTTCTGCTAGCAACTGTGGGCCTATGCTGGGCACAATACAACCCAAATACAAAAGATGGGAAGACATCTATTGTCCACCTTTTTGAATGGCGTTGGGCTGACATTGCTCTTGAATGTGAACGGTATTTAAAACCCAATGGATATGGTGGAGTTCAGGTATGTAGCCTTTACCATACAATACAATTTCTCTATGTTTTGGAACTATTTATTTACCAGAGAAAAAGGTTTGGTTTGTAGAGGGCAGGCAACACATTTACCAACAGTAGAAATTAGTGACGGAGGTAGGAAATGCAGACAGGTATGTGCCTAGACCAGCCACTGTGAAGGGGTGATTTTACTTTGTCCTAAGGGGGATAGCTCCAAAAAACTATCCTTTTGTGAGGTGCTGAGCTCCTGTTACTTCCACTGATTTCAATCTGAGTCCTCCCAGGATCATTCTTGTGAGAGCAAGCTCTGGTTGGGTAGAGTGGGCTGGATTATGATGTAAATGAGGATTAATACTGGTGTAAGTTAAATCAGTTTGTGCTCCTGCTACGTGTTGTACAGCACTGAGCATCCTCACTGTTCTTATACAAATAAACCTCAAAATAATTACAGGTTTATCACATGACATAATTTCATTCACAGATATCGCCTCCAAATGAAAATATTATTATCAACAACCCCAGCAGACCGTGGTGGGAAAGGTACCAGCCCATCAGCTACAAACTGTGCACCCGATCTGGAAATGAAAATGAATTTAAAGACATGGTGACCCGATGCAACAATGCTGGAGTAAGTATCTGGAAGTTCTTCAGGTTGAAATAGTGTAGAGAGAAATAACTGATTTCAGCTGGCATAGCAGTCTGTTCTATGGCAAAGGGAGAAGGCATCAAAGAAGTTACATAAAAGAGAAGGAATGTAAATGGGGAATAAACAGTGACCTGGTCAGTGACATTTATTATGTCACCTCACTCACTCTCCTTTGAAAAACAAACTGACATGCAACCATTGCTCCCTAGGTTTATATTTATGTGGATGCTGTAGTCAACCACATGTGTGGATCAGGTGTAGGCTCTGGAAATGGTGCCACTTGTGGAAGTTATTACAACGCAGGGAACAGAGATTTTCCAGCTGTCCCGTACTCAGCCTGGGACTTTAATGATGGTAAATGTAAAACTGGAAGTGGAGATATTGAAAATTACAATGATTTGAATCAGGTAAATAAGGATCTGTTTTTACTATCCCCTCCTCTTATCTTCTCGACCAATCTCTGACCATCTAAAAAGCCCCCTCCTCCTGCCCAAAAAAGATCTTTTGTGGAACAATGCAATACACACTCAGTTCAAGATGATACTTAAGTACAGGCCTATAATTAAGTGTGGGAGTATGACCACTAATTTCAACGATGCTTAGAGTAATGCTGCTGCACCTATTTATGTAGTTCCATTCACTCTTAACTGATGAAGACACTATTGTGATCAAGCTATTACACAACTTTCCAGCCTGATCAGTAGCTACTAATGAGAGATGACCTTAGAAAATCCACAGGTCTGCAGCAAAGGATGCTGGTGATTCAGTGGATACTGACCCATAAAACTGGAATCTGAGCTCTTGTAATCATTAAATGGCTAATGGCTCCTTTCCCAGATTTAGGGCTTTTAGCTTCTCTGTCTTGTTTGCCAAGTTCCTTCCTAAACTCGCAGGCAGCTACATCTGGAAGCAATATTCTTCACTTCCTGGCCTGATGTGAGACTCACACCAGCTCAGTATAGTAAGTTCCAGGATGCATACTTCTGTAGTGACTTTGAAGGAATTCTCTTCAAAACAGGTTTAGCTTGTGGATTGAACACATTTATGGCGTGAATTGAAAAATATGTTCACAATAGATCTATTTTAATCAGAGATTTATAATGTAGTGCATAGGCACCGACACTGTGGTTCCTTCTTCCCACAGTGCCTGTCATTGGCTAGTAGCCTAGCTGATTGAATTCCTGTTCTTCCTTCCCTCCCAGAGCTTCTCACCTGACACAAATAGCTGTTTTGCAACATACAGAAGCCCTGGGATAGAGGGGGAAGAATAGGGACAGGAAAAGATATGGTAGGAAGAAGCAAGGCAGGGTGTTGAGTGAAGGAGTGAAATGGGGCAGGAGGTGGGGTCAAACACCGGCCTGTGAAAAGGGGTGGAGTGGGGGAGACCCTGGATCAGAGTGGGGGGTCAAGCACTCCCTGAGCTAGAGGAAAATAGGCACATATGGTTTGGTGTATGACTCTATGGTATCCCATCCTATTTTTAAAACAGGTTCGTGACTGCCGCCTGGTCAGTCTTCTTGATCTTGCCCTGGAGAAGGACTATGTGCGCACAAAAGTTGCTGACTACATGAACCACCTCATTGATATTGGTGTGGCAGGCTTCAGAATTGATGCTTCCAAGCACATGTGGCCTGGAGATATGAAGGCATTTTTAGGCAAACTGCACAACCTAAATACTCAATGGTTTCCCTCTAACACCAAGCCTTTCATTTACCAGGAGGTAATCTCATTTTCTGACTTTTGCTTTGCATAGAAATGGGTCCTTTTGCATAAAAATACAAATACAGTATTGGCCAGATCCCGCAAAGCACAAAGTTCTGAACGTTGTTGGCTTAATATAGCAGAGCAGAGCTGCTGATGTGAGGGGGAGTGCAAAGGGGGCTACTGCCCGGAGGCTCAGTGGTTCAGAGGAGCCTGGAGCTCCCATCTGCTGCCACTACTACTGCAGCAGCAGCGTGGTCAGAGCCCAGGCCCTTTAAATAACCACTTGAGCACTATGCTGGCTATCCCAACCCTATCCCTTCTGGGAGCATAGAGCTGTCTCCCCTGCCACCTTGCCCAGGGGCCCAGCAACCCTGTTGCTCGCTTGTAGAATAGTACTTAAGAATTAACTTAATAAACAGTACTTAATACTTATATGAGATCATAAAAGTTTTAAAGGCTAAATGGTAAATTCTGTAATTTTACATGATCTCCAGTTTGCATATACAAATAGATCCTTTTGTTTTGAAATCAAGCAGGGTCATAAACGTATGTTATTCATATAAATACTTAGGCATTTGCTCTTCCCAGGTGAAAATGACATCATGAAGTTTAAGGAAAAAATGAACCATGAAAAAATACTCCTTATAGTCACTTACCTTTGCCATCTAGGAATCCCACTTTTAGTCTTCTGTTCTGACATTCAGGTTTTCCAAGGAACTCTTCAGAGAACAGTTCACCAGGGCTTTTTAATTTGTGCAGGTCCAGGAATTTCATTTTCCTAGCTAACCTACTCAGAGGCAGCAGAAAGATCACAACATCGATTTTGTGTAGGCCCTAAACAAATGATAAAGTTTTGATTTTTAAATATAGTACTTCTCTCTATTTAAATGGCTATTTAAAAAACTGATGCTAATAACTACCCGTAGAAACAGTTTAATAGGTTTTTTCCCCCCTAAATCTTTTAAAGTCAGAATTTTCAAGTCTCTTTTGAATTCTCAAACTCAGCATTCTGACACAAGGGTAATTCTTTTAACACTTATAACACCTAAACATGCTTCTTGTATAGAAAATGAGATGGTTTTAATGTTCTTCATGATTTTTCTAGGACAGATTTTTCTTATACAGTGTTAACTATGTATATTATATGGCTTTTTAAATAGCTAGGAATGTTTTAACAGCTTTTTCTTACTTTGGCCAGGTAATTGACTTGGGTGGAGAAGCAATTAAAGCCAGTGACTACTTCGAAAATGGCCGAGTGACTGAATTCAAATATGGTGCAAAACTGGGGACCGTCATCCGCAAATGGAATGGAGAAAAGATGGCCTATTTAAAGTATATACCAATTGGATGAATTGCGAAATTCATGCAACAACTGAAATATTAGTGTCAATGTGTTTGAGACTCTGTTGGTTTTTTAGGAACTGGGGAGAAGGCTGGGGTTTCATGCCCTCTGACAGAGCCCTTGTCTTTGTGGATAATCATGACAACCAAAGGGGCCATGGTGCTGGAGGAGCTTCTATTCTATATTTAAAGTATATACCAATTGGATGAATTGCGAAATTCATGCAACAACTGAAATATTAGTGTCAATGTGTTTGAGACTCTGTTGGTTTTTTAGGAACTGGGGAGAAGGCTGGGGTTTCATGCCCTCTGACAGAGCCCTTGTCTTTGTGGATAATCATGACAACCAAAGGGGCCATGGTGCTGGAGGAGCTTCTATTCTAACCTTCTGGGATGCCCGGTCGGGAAAGCTAAGGATGTTAGTATTTTTTCCTAACGATTACAATATATCTTCATGTGTCTCGTTACCCTTTGGCTTGCAGATTATATAAAATGGCGGTTGGTTTCATGCTTGCTCATCCTTATGGATTCACACGGGTAATGTCAAGCTACCGGTGGACAAGAAATTTCCAGAATGGAAAGGTAGGGTAGTTGAAAATAAATTCACAAGGCTCTTACTTTTCCTCTGTGTGGAGTGACAGTGCAGGCACTGTTGAGTTCCTCTTAAATTCTTTGGGGCAGGAGCATTTCTTGAGTGATGAATAAACCTTGTTTTGCCTCCCTGCATATGAATGAAAATTATCCTTCTTCCTGTGGCCTTTCTCATAGTTAGAATGTTTCATTTTTACTATTTTCTGTTTAACAACAAGGATGTTAATGACTGGATAGGACCACCAAGCAATGGTGATGGCTCCACCAAAGCTGTTACAATCAATGCGGATTCCACTTGTGGCAATGGTTGGGTCTGTGAACATAGGTGGCGTCAAATAAGGTAGGGATCTGTAGAGAGAAATTAAATACAGATGATGCATTTTGCAATATATCTTTCACGGTTTGGGAAGATTTCAGTTTGCCTATTTGTTCTATTTTCAGGAACATGGCTATTTTCCGTAATGTGGTTAATGGCCAAGCTTTCTCAAACTGGTGGGACAATGGTAGCAATCAAGTGGCTTTTGGGCGTGGTAATAAAGGCTTCATCGTCTTTAATAATGATGACTGGTAAGTAAGTAGGGTAAATTGGAACAGACTGGACAGGAGACAAATTTGTAATACAACAGATTATGACTCTTAAGTATTGTAGTTCAAAACCTGCACATGCCATCTTCTTCCAGAAATGCTTTCCAAAACCCAGCATTAGCTTCCAAAACAATACATAAGTTTGCTGCTGATGCTGGAGTGTATTCAGATCCATCATTGAGGAGGTTTGGCCCTTAGGAATGTATGTCTATGGAGGTCTGAGTGGTAACTAGGCATGAGCTAGAAGGTGGACGGCTCTAAAGAAATGAGCAGAGACTAATAATTGACTCAGGTTGGGATGCTCTAGAAAAGGCCAGGGATGTGGAACTGGATCAGGTCTGCTGAAGGGAGGAGGAGAAGAGTTGATGACTGAATTAGATGATTTATAGGGACAGGATTCTCAGGTTTTTAATGCTCTTCACTGAATTATTCTTGATTCTTGTGAATCAGTTCTATTAAATGCCTCCCTCCTCTTCAGTACAAAAGGCATTTTGTATTCAAGCAGTGCCTTCAATCTCTTTGGATATTCCTGAAGACTATAGTGGAGTCTCATGAGGGATGGCAGTTTGATAGGATTAGTGTTGTGCTCTTTTAGGCTCCTCTCATGTCAGAGGTGCAAAAAGAGATTTGGGGAATTTGTGACATAGTGGAAGCCATAAAGAACATGACATTGCCAGAAAATGGTTCTTCTGAAACCAGCTTTCTGCTAAGGTGCTTTAGGGGGCAATCAGAAAAGGTAATTTGGGTTTGAAAAGAAAGTGAGCTTCAGGAAGAGGAAAAAGGACAATATATGTACAGAAGTGACAATGAAGGGTGTAAATGTTTAGTCTGAACCGGAAGCTGATCGTTCTGTCAAAGCTGGTAAATATTGTAAGAATCTGAGTTTGTGTTCTGTCTCTTTGGCTGCATTTACACACCACCCTATACTTGGAATAAGATACGCAATTTGTGTTATGCAAATAGTGTATCTTATTTTGAATCTATTTTGAAATAGCCTATTTTGAAATTTAGCACAACAACAGTGCCAAATTGCAAAATAGTACACTGTTTTGAGCCATCCCTTATTCCTTGTGCAACAAGATTTACTGGGATATTGATATAGTGTGTCCATTATTTTGTAAAATATTTTGAAATAATGGGTGGCTTGTGTAGATGAGGGGTAGTTATTTCTGTGCAGTGTAGACATACCCTTACCGCTTGCAGCTTAAATCTTCCCAAAGAGATTCAGGCCCTGTCTACACTGTGGGCCCTACAGCTACTGTGCTGCAGCCATGCTACAGTGTAGACATTTCCTAAAGTGACAGAAAGGCTTTTTCCATCAGGGAAGTTAATCCACCTTTCCCAACAATGGCTGTTATGTCAGTGGAAGAATTCTTCCATGGTCCTGGCAGTATCTATGACAAGGTTATGTGAACTTAACTATGGCGCTCAAGGGTATGAATTTTTCTCACCATCAAGAAATATAGGCAGGTCAATCTAAATTTTACATGTAAAACAAGCCTTAGATGAAATTTCTGTGCTTTTAGTGGAGGGTTATATCTGTGAGGAAAGAACTATCCCAGGAAATAAATATATGAAGCTTTTGTCTTAATAAATGACATGGAACACCCTGTCTTGTTCATGCTGACCAGTGGTGCTGCATCCTTGTGAGGTGCCTATGAAGATTACACAGAGCACTTTCAATTAATTGCAGTTGCTCTTATTTCAGCTAAAGAACTCATAGTAGATTTCCCATACCAGCACTTCCTAACCCATTGGCCCAATTAGCAAAAAATTAAACTAAAGATTAAAACTCATCTGACCTTGTAGGGTCATCCCATGGGCTGCAGGCTAGAATGACTTTTTATTATTTTTTCTTTATTACAGAGAAAGATCTATGTTAAAGAGACTGAACTATCACTTATTCCTTTTCTATCTGTTTTTATACCCAGGGCCTTGAATACAAATTTGCAAACTGGCCTTCCTGCTGGCACTTATTGTGATGTTATTTCTGGGCAAAAGGAGGGCAACTCCTGTACTGGAATCAAAGTCAACGTTGGTTCTGACGGCATTGCCAATTTCCAGATTAGTAACCAGGCTGAAGATCCTTTCATTGCAATTCATGTGAACGATAAATTGTAATGTAAACTGGACGCATCTCTTCCCTTGGTTTTTCACACTGCACTTTGTTTTGTTTTCTGAGCATGCAGCAATGAATAATCTTTTAATTAAGAAATAAATAGTAGTGGAGCAAAACTGTTGTGAGTTTCATTAATGAAATTAAGTGTAACTATTTGTACTCTCAGCACGTACCTGATAGAAATGCTTGTAAAAGATGGTGTATTTGGCCAACAGTGTAGCTTAATACTAGCTGTACTACAGTATTTTTTTCAGGTGGAGCAAAACAAAAGGACAGCAATTAGAAGCAGAAATTAAATGATACATTTATTTTACTGTTTTAAGGCCAAATTTGGTATATGTTCATACACACATCACTAATATATATATATATATATATA